CATGTTTAAAGTTATTATTCAAAAATCTGGACTTGGCACAAAACGATAAGAGGAAAGTTAAGGTAAAAGCTTCGGCCAATAAGCTGAAAATTTCAAAGGACGTTGAATAAGTGGCGCGGGCATAGCCATTTTCAAAGCAAGATTCATATTTTTTTGCTGTTAGGTGCACTATATGGCTGAGCTTCGCGTGCACGTATGACGCTCGAGACATTTACTCTGAGATTCATCTGGAAATTGCTCCATAAGCTCATTGGAATTGGCTTCATCTTCAAAAACTGTCGCATTCATACTTGCGGAAAGTCTACCAGAATGAAATGACTGAAAAAAGGAGCTTCTTTTTCTCCTTTATTCTGCCCATCATCTGAAAAGATTTCATTCTCAACCCCTTTTTATTTTTTTTGAGGAAAAGGGTATTCACTTGGGAGATCTAATGAGAAAAGTAGAATTAGTTCTCTCAGTCATTTCTTTCTTTTGGCTGATTAATGCTGGGTTTTCATTCAATCTTCTTTCACCAAAAGGTGTCAATTTTGAAGGTGAGCTCCACATTGCACCCTTTACCCCTGTTTTTATTCTCATATGTTGTTTTCTTTATCTGGTATTTGCTTTCAATTTCTGCCTGCGTTTTTCTTTTTATTTTATTTTTTTTTCAATCATGCCAAATGTTTATCAAGCTTTCTTAATTTTGTGCAAACAGTGGCAGCCCTAATGTCTGTAAAGAAAGGTATGGTAGATGAAAATCATGTTCTTGATGGTTGGGATATTAATTCTGTTGACCCTTGCACTTGGAATATGGTTGGCTGCTCCCAAGAGGGCTTTGTTATTTCTTTGTAAGTTTTTATCTTTTAGTTTCTTTATTTCTAAGTCAAATATTTAATCATGTTCTTAGTTTTCTTTATTTGCCTCAACATTGATACTCTTTTTTGTTGCTGTCTGTTAGGGAAATGGCGAGCATGGGATTATCCGGCACGCTTTCACATAGTATTGGGAATTTGACTCACCTTCGAACAATGTGAGCCCTCGATCTTGTCAAACATTATCTGGGCTTTGTCTGAAATGGTTCATGACATGTTTTGTTAATGTTTTTGTGGATTCAAATGAATTTCAGCAAGGCTTCCCTTTGTTTTCAATCTTGATTAATATGAGTGCTTTGAGATATTTTCATGTGAATTTTCTTGATGTACAATTAAGATAAGACTAGTTTTCTTGGTCTCTATTTTTTCCATCATATATTTTCATTGTTTTTCTTTTACATTAACCTTGTCTTTGCAAAAAGTTGGAGTTATTCACATTATTTTTGTAACTTCCATAGGTTATTACAGAATAATCAGTTGACTGGTGATCTTCCATCTGAGATTGGGAAGCTTTCGGAATTGCAAACACTCGATCTTTCTGGTAATCAGTTTGATGGAGAAATTCCAAACTCTCTGGGTGATCTAGCTCGACTTAGTTACTTGTAAGAAAATGTTGATATTTTTTTTTTTTTTTATCTGAAGCTTTCACTTTTATAAAATCCAGAGTTGCTTTACACGTTCGATTTGATTATTTATGCGCTCCATGCATATTCAGGAAGCTAAGCAAAAACAAGTTTTCTGGACAAATCCCGACAAGCGTTGCTAACCTCGGAGGTCTTTCTTTCTTGTATGTTTCTTACAGAACTCCCAAATATAAGTTAAGTCAGTATGATAATAACGAATAATGTTACTAAAAACAAAGTCATGTCTTGCAGGGATTTATCGTCTAATAACTTGAGTGGTTCCATTCCCAATATACGTGCTAAAGACTACAGGTGAGGTTCTTAATTAGAGCCATGTTCAAGTTATTTAGTTTTATTTTATTAGCTATTCGTATTAAATATTTTATTTCATTATATACTTCAGTGTGGCTGGGAATATCTTTCTGTGCTCTGCATCCTCCGAAATTTGTGTGGCTGCACCAAAACCAGTTAATGGTATAATGTCATCCTTTTTTTCCAACTTATATTAAATTTGAATAATTCATTTTCTCCTGATTTTATAAACTTGTGCTTTTTTTTCAGAAAGTATTACATACACAAAGGTTAAAGATCATCATCATCAACATATGGTGATTGCAATTGCAATTGGAGTTAGTTGCTCGGTTGCCGTGTCAATCTTACTTCTCATATTTTGGGTTCATTGGTACAAATCGCGAGCTTTACTTAAATCCGAAGGTATCCTCCTATTTATTTACTTTTCATTTACATTCAAATTATTTCATGTTTGTATCTATGAGATTCATTTAATTACAAGAAACTGCATTCATCTTTCAAAATTACAAACACTTTTAAAGAGTTATTGAATAAAATAATATTATTTTATTGTGCAGTTGGACAAGATTACGAGTTGGACATGGGACAGTTGAAAAGGTTCTCATTACGTGAGCTGCAAATAGCAACAAACCACTTCAACTCTAAAAACATACTCGGGCAAGGTGGATTTGGGGTCGTCTACAAAGGTATACTTCCAAATAGGACAGTTGTGGCAGTTAAGAGGCTGAAAGACCCGACTTTCACTGGCGAAATGCAGTTTCAGACAGAAGTCGAGATGATCGGCTTAGCTTTGCACCGCAACCTTTTACGTCTGTATGGCTTTTGTATGTCCCCCGAGGAGAAATTACTCGTTTACCCTTACATGCCTAATGGAAGTGTTGCTGATCGTTTGCGAGGTTTGTTTCTAAAATTATAAACAACCATTTTTGAGGTCTGAATATATCTCTTCGAATGTGAGGGGAATGTTTATGATATTTTTGCAAAAATCAAGTGCAGGTTCTTGAAATGTTTTTGCGTACGAAACCGAATCAAACTTCAAAAGGTTTTTACGGTATACTCGAAATATTAGGCGATCGTGGAAATTACAAATACTCCCTTAAAATTTATTACAAAGTGCAAAAAACTACATGAGGTTTGTATTTATTTTAGAATAAACAAATGTCGAGGGGCTAAACCATGCCTGAATTTTTCTTCTGACGAGCTTCGAATTCGTATTTATTCATTCAGACAATACTCCCTCATGTTTTTTTTATTTGCCATTTTTTTGGCTTTATTTACCACTGATCAAATAAATGACGTTTTGGATCTTTTGTACATATCTTTCTATTACTACCCTCGTTTAAGTTATACACTATACGTATTGGGAAGCAAGTTGTGGAATACGATAAGTTTTCTCTTAAAAAGAACATAAAAAAGCTGAAAAAAAAAATTAAATTAATGTTAATTTACTTTAAATAAGGCTAATATTGACAAGAAAAAAATTCTTAATTTACGTGTTAAAGCACAAAACGACATTTAAAAAGAATAGCAGGGAGTAATTGTTATTTTTTATTGGTTATGATAAATACTAAACAGATCATGGTCGAGAGAGGCCGTCCTTAGATTGGAGCAAGCGCATGCGAATTGCTCTTGGGGCGTCTCGTGGCCTTCTTTACCTTCACGAGCAATGCAATCCGAAAATAATTCATAGGGATGTTAAGGCTGCAAATATCTTGCTTGACGAGAGTTTTGAGGCCGTTGTTGGGGATTTTGGTCTAGCCAAGCTGTTGGACCCTAGAGACTCGCATGTGACCACGGCCGTACGTGGTACGGTGGGCCATATTGCGCCGGAATATCTTTCCACTGGACAGTCTTCGGAGAAAACAGATGTTTTCGGATTTGGAGTGCTACTTTTGGAGCTCATAACTGGACTGAAGCCAATTGATGGTCGTGCGGCCGATGGTCAGGTCCACAAAGGAATGATCCTCGAATGGGTTAGTAGAATTTCTTTTTTATTAAAAATATCCTATCTTAAAAGTATTCCTGCATTTTCTACCATTTTAAGTAACATTCAAAGGTGTCATCCTCATCCTAAATTTTCATTCTTTAGTAGTAAACAAGTTTTTGCTGATATTGTATGAATTACGAGTTTGTATACAAAAATATCCACTCAAAATGAGTTTTTTTTTTAGTTAACCAGAGTTAATCTTAAAAAAATAGAGTAGTATGGTTAGTTTTTATAGTGAGATTTTGATTTTATATTAAAATAATATTTAAAATAAAATAATTAAAGTTGATTTGATATAAAAGTAGGAGAGATGTAGATGGTATGAACTTAGTTAAAATTATATGAGTGAATGTATAGTAAATTAAAGTTGATGTGATGCGTAAGAATGATTGGTTGATATTATTTAATTATATTGATAATATTGAGGATATTGGAGTTGGGTTAAAGTTGAGTATGAATTGAATATGAATTGAGTATTTCTTTCTTCCTTTCTCTTGCATCTCTCAGGTTAGAACTGTGTATGGTGAGAAGAAACTAGACGAGGTCGTGGATAAACATCTGAAGGGGTGTTTTAACTCGGATGAATTAGAAAAGGCCGTGGAACTCGCCCTACAATGCACTCAATCAAATCCCGATCAACGGCCGAGAATGTCTCAGGTTTTGAGAGTATTGGAAGGAATTAACGGGCAAGCGGACCCCACAGAGGGACAAGGCCCGGTTGACTTATGCCAAGGCAGGACTTTTAGTTTTTCTTGGAACTTGAGTGATGCACGCGATGACTCTTCAGTTAGTATTGAGGCAATCGAACTTTCGGGCCCTCGATAGTTTTCTCACTCTACTGCTAATACCAATCTTAATTTGTTGAATGTGGACAGTTGCTGGAAATAGCTAATTCAGTTTGTTGCTAGGAACTCTACATGTTTAGGATGCAAGTGTAAATATTAGTTATTTTATTTCATTCTGAAGATTTTGGGACACTGAAAAATGACAGTGGATTGGGTTCAGTGGGATGTATGAAAACCTAAAATTCCAGCTTTATTATCACAGTGCACTAACTAATCATATGGTGTGGAGATAAAAAAAATTTCAAGTTTATTATAAATATGAATCATAATTTTCAATTTGGATGAATTTGTAGTTGGAGCATGCAAGATGAACATGACTTCATGAATTGTTTCACATGAAGTTCTGTCCAATATTGAAAGGTTGGCTCTTAAGAAGATCCTAAACACAGAGTATGAAACGAAATATGCTATTCTTTAATGAAACGAAAAACAAAAGATCTACATGATCCTCATAGGGGTAACTACAAGTAAAATCCAGTATCATATATACAGATCTTTGGTTATGTACCATCAAAAGCACAATTTTGTTGCTATTCTTCAATCTAGGCTTGCCGAGGTCGCCGATCGACCCTTGGTATCACAGAATATATTTTTGGCTTAAATCATTCACAAAGATACATTTATTAGATATATTTTTCATCTTTTTTTCTTCAAAAACAATATTGTAACCAAGAATCTTAGTAGTAATTTGTATGATATTTTAAAATAAAAAAAAATATGATAAAGATGTTTAAAATAAAACTTTTGAAAGTGGTTAGTAAATACTTCTACAAGTAATAGGTGCTCTGATTGGTCGAAAAAAGTGTTATTAGCGTATTTTAATATGCTTAATTTTATCACACTTATATATTTTTCGACTTATTTATTTTCTTGGATGGATTCTTGTGCTTTGATATTTTTATATTTTACTTTTAGGATATTGGAGGATTTTAAATGGCAACGTGACATTGAAAGAAATTTCATCCGGAGCAGTACGGGGGTGCCCGTACTGACCTAGCAGTGCCCCATACCAGCCCAATTTAGGCCCATGTGTGCTAATTGTTTTTAATAACCCAATTGTTAAAGTGCTAATATTTGGTGGGCCCAAATGACAATTAATTGGAGAGCAAGCCTGGGCACATTGACGCAGTCATCAGAGGAGATTTAATTGGAGGAAAATTGAAATTAATTAAAACTCTTGGAAGGCAACCATATATTGGAGAGGATTTATTTTCACCAAATGGGGGGATTCACGCCACATTCACGCAGCTACACACGAGAAGGATAAGTATATTCTTCTCTTTTCCTTTTTATTTATTATGATATCTTAGATTTTATTTCTAGTTCCGGGGAAGTTGAACCCTACGATTTGACGATGTTTGATTGATTGTCGTGGTTGATAATTTCAATATCTTTTTGGAATTGTTTGTGTTATTTTGAATAATTAACCATGATGTGTGGAGTCTTATTTAGATTGATCACCTAGATTAGGCTTTTCATATCTATATCTGAATTAGACCTTCTGTTGATTCTCGAAATTTGATCAATATGGGGGGTTCATAGGGAAGATGCTCGAAATTTGATCAACATGGGAGGTTCAGAGGAATTTATTGTGTATTTATTGTATTGGATTTTTGTATGAATAAATCATGAAAAATATTGAAGATGAGGGAGGAAGAAGATCCACATGCGCCGCCTGTTTCTTTTAGATAGAGAGAGAAAATAATAGTACGACCCCTCAGACTTATCTGTCTGTGTCCATCATCGGGGATATATATATATATATATATATATATTTATTTAATGGGCCCGATATTATTATAAGCGGTATTATTTTTAGGCCCAAAAAATAAAATAATTTATTTAATATATATCCACGTATAATATTTTAATAGGCGAGGACAAAATTAGGTATCAACACCTTCAATTCGTAATTGTTGTTGTGTTTAATTCATAAGAGGCAACCGGAAGACGGTAACTACCGGGGATAACACGTCTTATTTAAGTGAACGAACGCGGTTGAGTTCACTACTTAGTCTAGCCTATTTTTCTAATTCGTAAAGCGGCTAATTGTATTAAATCTTGAAAACGTTTTTCTGGACTGTATAAGAAGTCAGGTTTAATCGTAGAGCGTCTCGCGGTTAAATTAAAATTAAGGAAAAATTCGGATAACAGACCGTGTCGTTACCTAGGGCTAGTAATTCTATAAGATAGCGAGATTTGATACCAAAATTGATCAGACGAGTTGGTCGAGAGTGTAGACGGAACCGTGAACTAGAAATTTCTCTTCATTTTTTTTTTTATTTTCATTGTTTAGATTTTATTTGCTTCATTAGTATCATAGTTAGTTTAATTATTAAATTCAAAATCTCCCCTCTTTTATTACTTTTATAATTCAATTAATATGAGAAAATTCACGATTTGATTCACACTCCTCGTGGGATCCACTCTTACTTGCCGCTACTACTAGTTAGTAGATGTTAATTGAGAAAAAATATAAATTATAATTTGCCGCGTTGCGACGCGCGGCCATGCTCGAATAACTGATCATTTTATCGGAATGTTATGAATTGATGGTTTAATTGAAAATTGGTATTGTAACAACCAATTTTATGAAAATTATAAAACTTTTGTAGAATTTGATTTTAGTTCGATCAATAGATATTGCGGGTACAATATCTATATGTATCCTCTGATTTTCCTCTTCTTGAATTTGGATTTGAATAGTCGAATATGGATTTGACACTTGGATCTTCTTTAAACTTGAACTTGAATTTCTTTAACATTAATTTGGGGGTCGAGTGACTTGTTCCCGTATTAAATGTTAGGGCTTGACTTGATTGAAGAAGACTTCTTGGAGGACTTGTTTATTTGATCTTCTTGAAAGACAGATTTTGACTTGAATAACGTTGACTCGAGAGTTTGATAGCTTTTTCCCTGATCAGACGCTATGTTGGTTGAACTTTTCGACGAGCGCGGCTTGAATGTCGTTTGAACGTCATTGATATTCTTGGATTGATTTGAGAGGAGTGGAAGCCGTTTCTTTACTTCTTGGGGAAGAGAAGCCGTTTCTTTTTCTTCTTCTTGGTCTTCTTCTTCATTGAACTTGGTTGCAGGTTGAATGTCGATCTCCAACTTGAATGCGCTTGGATCTTCAAGAACTTCTTCAAATCTTCAAGAGGGTTCTTGAGTGCTCTTGAATTTGAGACTTTGATTGTTTAGGTGTGATTTGTGGCTTTGAGGAGAACCCTATTTACAGTTGTCGGAAGAGAGTTGAAGAAGAAGATATCAATTTGATTGATCCTTCTTGATTTAATATAATCTCTTTCCTTATTTTAATATTTTTCTCCTTATCTTAAGATTTGTCTTGAAGAGCAATAAATATTTACTTTATTAATTAAATTTTTTATTTATCATTGATTTATGTCTAAAAATAAATAAAGAGACTAATTAATAAATTATTAAAATTTTGATTTCTACCGTTATCAAAGTTGTAAAACTAGTATTTGTAATTATATCGGTTCTTTTGATGAATACAAATATAAGTTAGGTAATAAAAAAATATTTAAAATATATGATTAATCCAATAATTATAGTGATCTCATACAATATAAGAAAATTAAAATTATCCATGTATCGATCAAAATACAAGTTTCATTAGTTTTTAATTTATTTATTTTAATTTTTTATATTTTTCTTAGATATTATTAGTATTTTTATATAAGCTATAAAATAAATAATCAAATACATAAATATATAATATAAATGAAGAAGATCAAATACAAAATAAAGATTAAAAATGAAGAAGAATGAACAAAAATAGAATGAAAAATTGCAAATTACCAATATGAAATTTAACATCCTAACATTAATAACAACGCTACATTATTAATCCTAGAAATTATTTATAGTGTAAACCATTTTGGCATTCCATTTTTTTTTAAAGAATAACTTACATTTTTAGGAGTGCTATAGATAAATGTACTTTATAATGTAAGCAAGAATTAGAAAAGTTCAATCTTTACTTGATGGCTATAGAAAATGTACGGTTTTGCTATAGAGTCATCGGATGGCTCGGCTTATAGAGCCATCCATAATTATCCACAAATAGTGTATTGACACGTGTCCTGCAATAAATACACATTGGACGCGTGTCAATACATAAAGTTATAGATGACTCTATAAAAAAACCATCTGATAGCTCCGTAGCATTTATGAGAAAACGTATATTATGTTGTTTTATGTACTCAATGTCGTTTTATGGAAAAGTGCTATAGAAAATGTAGTTTTATGTCGTGTTTCAAAGTATATAATGTTGATTTGAATAATACAGTTGCTTATTTTCGTAGAGAAGCTCCAGGCTGTCAATAAAAAACTTTATAAAATCATATAATCATTAAGTTTGAGTATAAAAATCTTACTCATGTTTAATTTGATAATGATGTTTATGTTGATAATCCCGATCGACAAAATTATCTTTGACTCATTGAGTTTGACTTAATTGTTAAACATATATGCATGGCCATGTGGATAAATAAATTAGAAGGATTGTTCTATGTTAAATGGATAAATCAAAACCATTATCCACATGTCAAATGTAATTAAGAAGAATATTTGTAGTACTATAGGGCCTCGTTTACTTACATTGATGGGATAAAACAATTTTATGCCATCAACTTTCCATATCAACTTTTGTATCATGTTTACAAAACATGATACATTTTATCTTGAATCTAACCAAACATTTACTAATGGTGATAAAAATTTTTAATTTCAATGAAAAGACAAATATAGCCCCTCTTCTTTAAAGATTAATAATTTTTAGATTTATTATAAAGTTTTTATATATTATATGTCAAATTAATAATCTCATGATAAGCTTCGAGTTGACATCTATATTGTATATACAAAATAAATAAATTATTACATTGTTTATACAAAAATTAAATAATCTAAAATAAATAATATTTTTAAATTAATATTTTTTATATTTAAATAAAATTATTTAGATTAAATAATATTTTTAAATTAAATAATATTATTTTAAATTAAATAAAATAATATTTTTTAAATTAAATAATATTTTTTTTTGGACAAATTGTTCATTTCATTAGTGGGATAAAAATATCCCACCTATTTGATGTGATTGAATTATCCTGCCACATATGCATCTTTGTGTGGGACCAACTTGCCACATGCATGCCACATAGGCTAAATCCGG